ATTGAAGGTGAAAACCATCATCTCCCACATCACTACGGTATTTAACTATACTCCGTCTTACCTAAATGCGTGGTTAGCAAAGACCAAGGCGGTTGAAAAGGTATATGGAAACTGGGAGGATTCATACCAAGAACTTCCTCGCTACCTGAATGCAGTCCAGACTTATTCTCTGGGTACTGTTTACATTCTGGAAACAGTGCCAGCATACGCCCCGGATGGTAGTCAACTCAACGGAAATGGAATATTCAGTCGAGTTTTTTGGGCTTTTCAACCTTACATCACAGGGTTTGGGTCATGCAAACCAATTATACAAATTGATGGGACTTGGTTGTATGGGAAATACAAAGACACGCTACTGATGGCAGTTGCACAAGATGACAACAACAACATTTTCCCAATTGCCTTTGCCCTAGTCGAGGAGGAGACTGGTGGTGCTTGGAGATTTTTTCTCAAAAATCTCCGAACACACGTGGCTCCTCAACCAGATCTCTGTTTGATCTCTAATAGACATGAATCCATTGAAAGTGCATACAATAATCATGCAAACGGTTGGCATGACCCTCCTTCTACGCATGTCTATTGCGTTAGACATATCGTCCAAAATTTCACGAGGGAGATCAAAGACAAAACTCTTAGGAAAGAGATTATGAATGCGGGATATGCATTGACACAACCTACGTTCAAATATTATCGCAACGAGATCCGTTTATCAAATCCGGAAGCCGGTAGGTGGATCGATAATATTATGGTAGAAAAATGGACTAGGTCATACGACAATGGACAAAGATGGGGCCACATGACAACAAATATAATTGAATCGATGAATGGGGTATTCAAAGGCATACGAAACCTCCTGATCACTGCTTTGGTTAAATCAACATATTTTAGGATGGCTTCCTTGTTTTCCAAAAGAGGTGAAATATGGAACGCTGTGTTGCAATCTGAACAACTATGGAGTGAAAGCTGCATGAAGTACATTAAGGCAGAAAGTGCCAAAGCCAACACCCATCTGGTTATACGATTTGACCGACACAGCCACAACTTCATTGTCAAAGAGACAATCGACCACATTGAGGGCCTACCAAGACAAGAATATAGGGTTGTACTACCTTCTCGTTGGTGCGATTATGGCAAGTTTCAAGCATTTCGTATGACTTGCTCTCATGTCATTGTCGCGTGTGCCTATACTCATTAAGACACGGTACAACTTTTGTCTCGCATTTACAAATCTGAAACATTGCTCAACGTTTACAACAACAGTTTCCCTTTGGTAGCAAAACCAGATTATTGGCCTGCATACGACGGCGAAATAGTATGGCACAATAACCAAATGCGAATGAATAAAAAGGGTCATCCCAAAAGTAAGCTCATCATAACCGAAATGGACTCCCTTGACAAGACGGAAAGAAAGTGTGGTTTATGTCGTCAGGTCAGACACAATCGCAAAAATTGTCCGAATCAGGCTACTACTCCAACCACATAAAAATTGTATTACAAAAAATATTTCCTTTATTATGTTGTAAACATTAGGGTTTTTCGTTAACAATATTTGTTACAATAAATATTACGCAAACAAGAAATAAAACACGATAAACCGTCTCGAAATTACAACCGTTAAAACAATTTCATCTGACCCATGCATCATCAACATTACGTCGCTGTCTGTTTTGACTTCCTCCAACAAAAAATTAGGTCTTCCTGTCGCAAGTGAGGTTGTTGTTCGTATTCGCTGGATCCTTCTAATTTGTTCCCCCTCCACGATGTCTCCCTCTAGCCATCGCATCAACTCCTTCTTCAGACGCTCCATGGAGTGAATGTGCCAGAATTTCATTTTCATCGGAGGTTTTGTGGGGGAGAAAATAACGTAACCATCTTTGGTAAAAATCATGGGTGATGTCATGACGCAAATAACAGTAAAAAATAAGAGAACATTGCAAGAAAGTGTGAGGAATGACGGAGAAACTGACGAATTATTTATAAAAACAACATTTTGCCCTAGGAGCCAAGTGAGATAGAGCCTCCTCACACTTTTAAAGTGCATGCGCCATCTCACTTGACTAAAAGAGAGAGGAGGCGCCAAGTGGGATGGCGCCTAGGGAAAGAATGTGAGTGGAGGAGCCAAGTGAGATGGCTCCTCCCTTGGAGAGTTTTCTTAAACATAGTTATTTGCGTAATTTTTTCCAAAACATGGTTATTTGTGTTTTTTTTTTAATACATGGTTATTCCAAAAAAAAATTCTAGTTATGGTAGTCTAGTATAAGATTGTCACATTTACCATTCTTAAGATATTAATTGGGCACCACCGTTGAAATATATATATATATATATATATATATATATATATATATATATATATATATATATATATATATATATATATATATATATATATATATATATATATATATATATATATATATATATATATATATATATATATATATATATATATATATATATATATATATATATATATATATATATATATATATATATATATATATATATATATATATATATATATATATATATATATATATATATATATATATATATTAGTTTCATTAACTTTATTTATTATTTAATATAGATTTTTTATAATATTTATTTTTTGTAATTAAATTTTTAAATTTTTATTATATGACTAAAGTATTTACTATTAAGTATTATTTAATATAGATTTTTTGTAATTAAATTTTTAAATTTTTATTATATGACTAAAGTATTTACTATTAAGTTCTGAAGTTAAAAAATATCATATAATTATTAGTGGGTTGATCTTGCTCTATAAAAAACTATATTATTAAATTTTATTTTAGAATAATATATTTTAAAAAAATGGATATTAGTGTTATTTTAAATTAATTCTTATGGAACCTTAACAACAACTAAAAACTTATCTCTGTATAATTACTAATAACAATTTTCACTCTCTTATTATTTAGAAAATGAGAAAGTGGTTGACAAATTTAATTCAAATTATTAGTGATATTTTTGTAAAAATATATATTGTCATATTTATTTTATAATAATATATGTTAAAAACTTAGCAATATTAGTATTATTCATAACAAATTTTTTTATTAATTGTTTAATTTTTTTGTCAGGGGTCTATTTAATTATTTGTCTTGAGCCTCTAAAAAGTCAGGACCGACTCTGAATTTGGAGACAGACTTTCAAAATTCTTCTCTATTGGTCCAAAATTGATGATGATTCTATTTTAACCATCAATTTTGATGTAAATCCTAGATGTCAATAGTTTTATTAAAATTTAGTACTTGCTTTGAATTATCTCTTAATAATAACAAGTCATTACTTTATTATGTTTATGTTTCAAAGTTATAAATTATCTAGAATAGCTAGTCTGTTTGATAAAATATTAAGTGTGACTTAATCGTGAAATCTCATTAAACAAAAGAACATTATTCTTAAGTATCTATAATCAAGCTTTATTATGAAGTGGAATAGCATTAAATGATTGAGACTATTATGTGGATATATGGATGATCACGTCTCATATATTATGAATAATGAATTATCAAGTATTCACATATGTTTAAATATCAGGAGTAATATTTATATTGAATTGACCCACCATGAGAATATTATATAGAATGTTATAAAAGTGTTATAAGTTGTTCTCATGGTTATAAGGGTGCATACCTCCCTTTGATCTGAAACAACTATGGTGCTTAATATGGAGTCAAGTACTTTATTATCGATCAAATATTATTCGTAGTAGAATGACCATACACATGCTTGATGTGTACTCTATAAATGATATTAAGAGACATGAGTGACTTAGATTGAATTAGTTCATCTTGTGTCACAGGATAAATATTTAACGACCAAATATTGAATTAGATAAGAGTGACATGATATATGTCATATGTCGAATATAGACATGATGGTAAAAAGGTAATTATACACATAAACATTATCACAAAAATGTTTTGTCATATCATATGAGTAAGATTCAGAATGTGTGGTATTATTGTTAACCTAGCGAGTGATTATGAGAGAGATATCTCTTCTATTTCGAGAATGAGAATATCTCCTAATTTTTATCTCCCTCCTATTGGTCACAATACTTGGAAACATAAATTATAACCTTATATTATGTTTCTGATTTAGAAAGGGTAAATGGGAATTTTTTGGAGAAAGGAACTCCTTAATCCATCTCATTAGAAACCCCTTTATCAAATGTTAGCGAAAAAGAAAGTCGCTTTGGGGTCCTTATGCCCCCTCCGATGTTAACAGAGAGAAAAAATACAAGCCAACTTTCATAGGAGGTAACACGCCAAGGATTATATTAAGCTTCACCCAAGGAATGATAATTCTGAACCCAGCGAAGCTGATGTGATGGCTTTTTTAATCCTTTGAAGTCGGTCGGACGTAATAAAGCTTAACTGGGTAGATGCGAAAGTGGTAGGAACTACCTCTATTTTGAGTATAGAGGCTTCCATAAATGTCGTCGAAATCGTGGTAGGTTCCCCTAGGATGGTCGAATCTTCTAGTGGGACCGGAAAAGAGGATATGCAGTTCCTTTAAAGATTATGCGATTCATCTCTATGAATGTATGTTCACCAAAATAGAATTGCAGTTGCCTTTTTCTGACTTTGAGGTAGCTTCCTAAAGTGTTTAAAAGTTTCCCCTTCATAGATCCATCCGACATCATGTGCCTACATGAGAGTATTCCAACGGATTGCTTAATACAAGTCTTGGAAACCCCCTCTTGGGCTATTCTCCGGTCTACTCCACTTGGTATAGGATAACCGTTGGTTCAAACCCATCACCTCAAATTTGGTTATTTTATGGAATAATTCATGTTGGCAAGGTCACACACACTTGAGGGCCATCTTAATTTTTTCTATGTTGATGCTGACTTTCCCCGTTTCTTCTAGGTCTCCTTCCCAAAATACTGGTCTTTAATTCTTTTTAAATGGGAATTCCATTCTTATCTAACCAAGCTAAGTTTCCTTTCTCTTGACAAGGTGGCCATGAGAGAGGAAATACAACATTTATTCTATAAACTTTGTTACGAGGAAGGATTTGGCCTCGATAAGGTATCTCCTATCGAGGTGAAAATAAAAAGGATTGACACTAAAACTATTGCGAGTGCAATTAGTCAAGAAGAGAGAAGAAAGATATTTTGTGAGAGCATAGTCTTTCTCTCTCTCCTCCCCTCTCTCACTCTCTTTCTCTTTTGACATATGCAATTGCATTTTGCAGATAACATGGATAAGGTGGATAAGCTGAAGAAGCTTTTTGACCTTGCAAATTCTCAAAGAATTCAGGCTGTGGTGCCTCCTCCTTCAACCATTGTTATTACTCTGGAGACTACTACTTATGCTCTGACCCTTGCTCCAATTTTTGCTGTTGGGACTTCTACATCTAGAAATGAGGTAGATCAACTTGTGGATGATGTTGTCACCATGACTATGGAGGAGTTATCCCCTCTTAGGAATTTAACAACGAGGTTTCAGGATAAAAAACAACGATCCCTCGGGAAGAGGTTTCTCCGAAATAGACATATCTTGTTGGGGAAGATACTTCAGGGTAGGTGACTCCCTTTCAAAGAATGTTAAAGGTTTTCTCTTCTTGGCTTGCTAGTACTTCAAAGGAAGCTACAATCATTATCTCGACGTTAAAATTTTCCTTTTCCTAGAATCTCTTTAAGGAGGATAAGCCGGAACTACTTTCTGTGATTATTTTCAATATGTATCAGGCATCTTCTCTATTTTCAATTGATGTTGCTGAAAAAGGTGATGTCTTGGCTCTTGACAATCTATTCAAGTAAAGGGAGACTTGGAAGAGAAAATGTGAAGCTAGTGATCTGAGGTTCTCTACTCATCAAGAGGAGTTTGTTGCTTTGCAAAAAGTTTCAAGCATGTTGGCTCTTTACGAGAGGAAACAAAGATTCATGGCTCCTCTCTACCCAGGTTATCAAGGTTAGTAAGATGGAAGCCGACATTAAGGAGGAAAGTAAGAGGTATCAAGATGGTTTTGATATTGTTCAGTAGAAGAACCATCAAACAAATGAGCACTGGAAAAATATTCTGCATGAGGTTGAGGCACATACCAAGGTCCTGAAAACTCTTCAAGATGAGGTTATTGGTGTAAAGCAGAAGCTTTGCTTTACCTTTTAGTTGACTATGTAGGTTGTGCTCGAAGCTCGTAACCAAGTCATGGGTCAGACAAGGCAAGTTTGTCCTGATGCCATAATTTCTATTGTTGCACTGAATCCTTTCCAGGGTGTTCCTGAGGTGCCTTAAGAAGATGATCTTGATACTCCTACTTCAACAGCTTCATCTTGATTACTTCTTTTCCTTTCTTATTATTGTATTCTCTATAATGTTTCCTAGGCTTTGCGCTTTTGTTGTAATAATTATTGTTATTATTTATAAATTACTTTAAATTATTGAATTTTGTGTATAAATTGTTGCAATGTTGGGGGCTTATTTGTTGTCCATGTAACACACAGTTTTCTTGTCCCAGTAACATGACTGGTGTTCATCAAGGAAGCCTTGAGTCTTCTCCTTTTCAGCTACAAAGTGTTTCCTCTCTGTATGAAGATGGAAATAAAATGAGATTTTCGTTATACTTGAGTGAGATATGTGTCTTTCTAACTTCCATGATTTTTGAGATATGCCTTAACACATTGGATGATATCAACTACCACTTCTTGGTTGCTACATTTATTCATTTTAATAAGCATTCGTTATGGTATCATGCTAGTTTATGTGCAATATATGGAGAGTTGCTTATGTTCTATGCAGTGAAACTTGACAAAAGTTAGACCAGTGTAATGCGGTCATATATTTTTACTACACTCTATTTATACATCAATATGTTTAGTATGTATCAAATTCACATAAATATGTTTAGTATGTATCATATACGCAGTCATGTGAGGAATTTTTTTTAAGTCGTATTAGATACATAAAAATACGTTTAGCCTTTATTGGATACGCACTCATGAGAAGAGTCTTTCATCCTGCCTCTAGCATTATAAAGAAAATGAAATAAGGAAATATACCACAATGGAAGGTAATAAAAAATGTATGAATATTTATATTAACTTCGATAGTAACTTTATTCTGGAAGAGTGGCATCCTAAATCCTTGGTAGTCATCTACCAGTGGTACTCCAGAGGCGCGCTTCTCTTATTTAAGATATTTCATGGATGGCAATTTCCTTGGATATGTAGCTTAAGCATAACCATTGAAACCTTAGGGATCTAGAGTTTCCTTTGCTGAATTCTCTGGTGAGGCGCTTCCGTAATAACTGGAATTACTACGAAAAAGACCTTTAACAACGACTGGAATGATATATAAATACTCAGGTCTAAACGTTGTTATTTAACATGTGGTTGTATATGTGTTACTTTGAATCATGGTCCAGTGACCATAGTAGTAAAATGGAAAGCGCGCGTCATATAATAAAACTTGTATTACCAGAATCAACAATACACCATTTGTGAATTGATATCAAAACTTTTATTATATTAAAATATACGTAAGTAAGAATATTAAAGAAGGGAAAAATATATATGAAAAGACAAGTAGATATAATCATTCAACAACTCGATGAATTAAAGAATAATTAATGAAAAAACTTTACATGCATGAAATCATTTGGATTTTAGACTTTCTAGGATTAGGGAAGAGGAAGAATCAGAAGAAACAATATAAAATCAAAATTATACTTTGAACCAAAACACAAAAAGAACTTCATCCAAAAAATTGAAAGAAGAAGAATAATCAAAATGAGTACTTCTGCTGAAGCTTCGAACAATGTTGAGAGAGCTTCCAACAATGTTGAAGATGTTCGGCCTCTTCAGAATCAAGAACATTTGAGACCCAAGAGAGCTCTCAGGCAGAGGATGGCAAGAAGAAGAAAGGTAGAAATGCATATAGTTTTCTTGGTCAAATTTTCTCTGGGATAGAGGATTTGGATACGATTATGAAGGCCTTCTGTAATTAAAGTTTATGTAATTAAATTTTAATCTTTCTACTTAACTATAGGGCTTTCTCACTTTCTTAAGGTTATCAACTTAAACTATCAACTTAAACTATCAACTTAAACTATCAGCTTAAACTATCATAAAAAAGTAAACATTAAACATAAAGGAGATAACTAAACATAGTATCTTCAAATTTTCAAAAAATATCTATGATTTCAGTGTGTTCTTCAAATTCTTGTTCTTCTTCTTTAACTCTTCAAACATAACCTTCAAATAGCCCATAGCTTCCACAACTTCCAACTCTGACTTCAAAACTCTGACTTTATTTCCACCTTTTTCTCCCATATCTTTATCCCATATGAACAGATTACATGTCTCATCACTCCTCCAAAATGGACATCTCCAAAAAAAACTTCCTTTATTTTGTTTCTTCTTGCATTGGTACAAAACCATACGACAATCACAACCACATAAATTTCCATATTGAGATTTTATCAAAGAAGAAGACATAGAAACATCTTTGGATGAGTATGTACGTCTTCAAATGCGACATTGAAACGAAACTAAACAACAACAATGTCGAAAATATTTTACGTACCGTAAAGGAGAATACTGTGTGGTGTTGTTGTCTTTCTTCCTGATGACGAAGACATCGTTGGTGTTAGGATTATTTTGTCTTGTTTCTTTTTTTAGTGAAAAAATGGACACTGAGTGTTTAGTATATATAAATGTATCACTATGGTAATTATTGTGAACTATAATGATATAGTTTTGACATAGTGAAATTTCATAAAGAAGCGCTAGTGTGTAACAACGGTTTTACAAAATAACCGTAGTGATATCCATATTATTTTTTATTTAAATATAAAAAAAATGAAAAGGCGCGCATTAACGTAAAATGAATAAACCATTTGAGGGCGATGAGGTTCGAACCCATGAGAGCTTGATGGTATCACCATAGTCTTCTCATCAACCATTATTATACCCTTAAAATTTTTAATTAAAAAATAAAAAATGTTAGCTCAAGAGTTTAGAAGTGTCACCACGATGTTTGAAAGAACCGTGGTGACTTTAACATTTTTATATGCGCGTTTTATAGTAGTGTGGGATAAAAACATCCTAAAGTGATCAATGGGGGCCAGAGATATGTCTATAGGCGATCCGACATGGTGGTCAGCTTCCATTGGACCCATGGAGATGATCGAATGTGGACGACGTTTCTTGAGAGACCTACTTTTTTGACCTCTACGAGAAGGTCTAGAAAACTCTCTCTATCTATTCCTTCCTTTGGAACGACGACGCTAGACGAGAATCTGAAAACATTGCCAAACAATCTCCTTACGACTAGAATTTGTAGTACTTTCCTCTAAGCATTTAGTTGGTGAGTCCCATTCACTTCTAATAGTCTATCCTCAGAGATTTGATAGTCAACTTATTCAAGTTGGTTGATGATGATCTGGAGATGCTATTTATCAGTATCCTCTTCAATACCTCGACCTTGATTGAATTGTTGTACTTATCAAGGGACCGATATTTGAACTCAGACACCTTTACTCCTTATGTGTTGCCCCAAGTCAGCCCTTATGATAAAGACTGTACCAAGCGACAAGGGAAAACACTAGATTCAATATGAGGAAGGCCTATCAATCGTTTGAAAGAGTGATATATCTTAGTACTCGAGAGTAAGGCTTGTTTAAGTTATTTCACTTAATTATGTGTAGAAAATAAATTCCTAGAGTCCAACCCTTAAACTAACATCACACACATATATGATTGTTTTTATTTAGGTAGATTTTATGCTATACTCATTGTATAAAGTGATAAACCGTTGTGTAATTGGGTATGATTTATACAAAAATGTTTCCCATGTACCAAAAGTCATTTATAGTGAGTGTCTTTAAATTGTAAGTTTATAAAACCTGTCGTAAGAATAGGTATCTTTTTTACCATAAATAACTTTTAGTGACAGTTAAATCCGTAGTTATAAAACTCCTTCACTTTTAAACATATTTTAACTATCTCACTCATTCAACCAAATAATAAGGCACTCTTGTCCCTTCCAAAAAGCAAAGCCACTCACTCCCCAATAATGTACTAATTAAAATATTACCAACACATAAAGCAATACAAAGCATGTATGCATCCACGGGTTATTCAATTTCCATATGCTGGATTCAATATTCATTTTTCCTTTCCTCCAACTATAAATAACCTCATCTCCCTCCTTCCTCTTGTCCTCAAATCAAATCCATCTCTTCATATCTCTCTATCGTTCTCAACCTATCTTTCTCAAAACACTCTCTTTCGAATTATTCCAATAAGAAAAACAGCTTCTATAGAAATGGATAACAATCTACAAGTAGTGTCAAAGAGAGTGTGGAAAATGGTACGTGTTGTCTTCTTCATGTTGAGAAAAGGCATATCAAAAGGCAAACTAATGGTAAACTTAAACATGATATTCAAACGCCGTAGCAAGCTCGCCGGAAAAGTTATTGCCAATCTAATGTCCCACAATCACCACCACGGAGGCTCCACCTCAAACCGCCACTCCCACGACTCACAGCGGCAATTCACTTTCTCAAGGGATTACGAATTCAGCTGTAGCGACACTACCGACAACTTGTTCTCAAACGGGAAGCGTCACCATAAATACAATGATCAAGCGGCACTTGCAGATGATGATGAGGTGACGACTATGAATGCAATGAAGGCAGTAATGGATATGCTTAACAATGATAAAACAATTGCAGAAGCATCTCATGCACTGAAACTGAGTTACTCACCATTCCCTTTAAGATATGACGATGAGAAGGACAATCAAGTTGATAAGGCTGCAGAAGATTTCATAAAAAGGTTTTATAGCCAGCTCAGGAAGCAAGTTTGATTGATTAATTAATTTAATCTTAACCTACACGTTGTTTAGTTAATAATTAGTAACTAGATTAGGACCCGTGTAATGCGGTTGTAAATTATATTATTTTTAATTTGAATTTTAAATAGATTAAAAATACATGATTATTAAATTTATATTATAAAAATTTATATCATAAATTTTATTTAAAAGAAAAATATTGGGAATTTTTTTTTATTGATTAGGTTTTGAAATTTTTTTCCGCAAATAACCATGTTTCGGAGAAAATTACACAAATAACTATGTTTCAGAAAACCCCACAAATGAGAAGTCAATCCAGTTGGTGCCTACACTTGCCCTTTTGTCCTAGGCGCCATCTCACTTGATGCATGCTCTCTCTTTTAGTCAAGTGAGATGGCGCATGCACCTTAAATGTGAGAGGGGGCGCCATCTCACTTGGCGCTTAGGGCAAAATGCTATTTTCTATAAATAAATTCTCCGTTTCTCCGTCATTCTCCACACTTTCTCGCATTGTCTTATTATTTTTTCTCTGTTATTTGCATCATGACATCTCCCACGATTTTCATCAGAGATGGTTAGGTTATTTTCTCGGCCACTAAACCTCCGATGAAAATGAAATTTTAGCATATTCACTCCATGGAGCGTCTGAAGAGAGAGTTGATGCGATGGCTAGAGGGGGACATCGAGGATGGGGAACAAATTAGAAGGATCCAGCGAAGAAGAACAACCACCTCACTTGCAAAAGGAAGACCTAATTTTTGGTTGGAAGGAGTCAAAACAGACGGAGACGTAATGTTGATGATGCATGGGTCAAATGAAATTGTTTTGACGGTTGTAATTTCTTAGACGTTTTATCGTGTTTTTATTTGTTGTTTGCGTAAGGTTTATTGTAACAAATACTCTTAATGAAAAATCGTAATGTTTAGAACTTAAAAAAGTAAAGATGGTATGCATACAATTTTTATGTTGTTGAGCTAGTATCCCGAGTCAGACAATTTTTGCAATTGTGTTCGACCTGACGACATAAACCACACTTTCTTTCTAGCTTGTCAAGAGAGTCCATTTCAGTTGTGATACGCTTGCTTTTGGGACGACCCTTTTTATTCCTTCGCATTTGGTCGTTGTGCCATACTATTTCGCTGTCGTATGTAGGCCAATAACCAGGTTCCGTTATTTCGCTGTAAATGGGAGATAGAAGTTGTAATGCATCTTGATGAGTATACGCACATGTCGTAGTGACATGAGAGCAAGGCATACGAAAAGCTTGAAATTTGCCACATTCGCACCACCGAGATGGTAGTATAACCCTATACTCTTATCTTGGCATCCCCTCATTGTGGTCGATTATCTCTTTGACAATGAAGTTGTGGTTGTGTCGGTCGAACCGTATAACCATATGAGTGTTGGCTTTGGTACTTTCTGCCTTAATATACTTCATGCAGCTTTCACTCCATAGTTGTCCCGATTGCAAGATAACATTCCACATTTCACCTCTTTTGGCAAACAACGAAGCCATCCTAAAATATGTTGATTTAACCAAAGCAGTTACTGAGAGGTTTCGTATGCCTTTGAATACACCGTTCATGGATTCGATAATATTTGTTGTCATATGGCCCCATCGTTGTCCATTGTCATATGACCTAGTCCATTTCCCCACCAGAATATTGCGATAGTGGTTGAACGTAGGTTGTGTTAATGCATAACTCGTGTTCATAAAAGCTTTCCTAAGAGCTTTGTCTTTGATCTCCCTCGTGAAATTTTGTACGATATATCTAATGCAATAGACATGTGTAGAAGGAGGGTCACGCCAACCGTTTGCAGGATTATTATATGCACTCTCAAGAGATGCATGTCTATCGGATATCAAACAGAAATCATGTTGAGGAGCCACGTGTGTTTGGAGATTCTTGAGAAAGAAACTCCAAGCACCACCAGTATCTCCCTCGATTAGAGCAAAGACAATCGGGAAAATGTTGTTGTTGCCATCTTGTGCAACTACCATCAATAGCGTGCCTTTGTATTTCCCATACAACCAAGACCCATCAATTTGAATAATAGGTTTGCATGATGCAAACCCTGTGATGCAAGGTTGAAAAGCCCAGAACACTCGACTGAATATTCCATTTCCGGTGACATAAGTACCATCTGGGGCGTACGCCGACAATGTTTCCATAATATAAACAGTACCCGGAGAATAAGTCTGAAGTGCACGCAAGTAGCGGGAAAGTTCTTTGTATGACTCCTCCCAGTTTCCATATACCTTTTCAATTGCCTTGGTCTTTGTTAACCACGCTTTTCGGTATGATGGAGTATATTTATATACCTTAGTGATGTGAGTGATTATGGTTTTCACCTTCAATGATGGATCATTGCTGACGAGAGGTAGAATTTCTTAACATATGAGATCATAACTTATTTTCTGATGATCCTGTGATTGAGTAGAATTGACGCACGTGTGGGTGGACATAGAACCTATGACCCAACAATCACCTCTTAATTTGTATGATGCAGTGAGCTTGAACATAAAATATGGGTGAACACACCTGAGCTTGTACCTTTATGGATTTACACGATCTACCTTAAAATCGACCGAGTTCAGCATGTGGAACTTTTTTATGGCTCGGATACAATCTTCTCTATTACAAAATTTGTCTTTCTCTTTTAAGTTTTCATCCGACTGCATATACGGATTGAAAAATAAATCAGATGACGGTTCATCTTCACCCATGTTAAAGTTTGTCATGTATGGAGGTGATATGTAGATCTCAATCGGAGGTATACCAGGTATCCCATCATCTTCAGAATCATCGTTGACCATGTCGTCAAACTCTAACTCATTATCTTCTTCTTCTTCGTCAACGACATCTACTTCTGCTTGTTCGGCCTCGAGAGGATCAACCACTTGTGACAGCTGAGGCTCTCGCAGCACAATGTACAACTCAATAGAGTCATACAAAGAATACTCATGACTGGAAAACATATTTTGAAGGTCCTCATCATATTGAATCTCAAACTTATAAAATGTTATTTGGTTGTTGGCGGTAAGGCGGTTAATGGGTAGGTTCAATAGCTCAACTCTTTGCGCGAGGAATTATTGGGCAAAGATATGGTTGAAGGTGGTGGTGCTAGAGGCCAAGGTATTTTACTTACTAAACTAAAAAAACATTATGCGACTCTGGAGTTGAACGAAAATTCCTCCGAGCTAGCTAGAGTAATAAAAGCTAGAAATTATATAATGATACTTTTTGGAACCTTTTTATTCCCCAAAAGTACGGAGAATAGTGAAAATTTGATGTATTTAAATTTACTTTGAAACTTTGAAAAAACTAGAAAGTATAGTTGGGGTTCTGCTGTTTTAGCCCATCTATACAATTCCTTGTGTAAAAATGCAACCAAGGAAAATGTACTTTTTATGGACGCACTTTCTTACTCCAAGCCTGGGGTTGGTGGAGAATGGAGTCCCTAAACTCCGTCAATAACAACGCATACGTTTTCCCATACGCAACAAAGTAAGTCAAGAACTTATATAAGTTATTATTCATCTGTTCACCAAATATATGATAAAAATTAACTATTTTACAATTCCTTTAGGTACTGCATGACGAGTATGAATTACGGCGAGAATCCCAGATTCAATGTCGCTCTATATCGCAATCTATTGGATCACCTTGGCTCGGATGATGTAAGTCATACCTTTGAACTTTTCTATTTTTAAATTATTTATTTATTACATTTTCATTAAGCTGATTTAATTTTATCTACAGTTTATCTGGAGATCATATTTGGGTTTGGACCATAAACCAAACTCTAAGGATGCAGCAATTTGGACCATAAAAACCGCAATCGTACGGTTCAACATTGTGGAGATGCACCACAGTGACTATGTCAAGATGCAGTTTGGAATGCATCAAGAGATACCATGCGATCCAACTTGTTTTTCCCCGTGGAATCTCAAAAGGTTCAACGCCCAATGGGGTCTTACCAATTGGAAAGATTTTGCTCCAGAGTGGTGTAAGATGTAGCATAGGCGTCACCAACATGTCTTGCAATTCCATGTTTTCTTCAACCAGAGTAATATGTGACACACAGATCAATATTTAGCTTGTTACAAATCGGTTAGTAACCCAGAAATGCACGTGTCTCATCTAAGGTATTTGGTTAACCCACGAATATAATGGGCACCACCCTCATTTCCCCAACAACAAATGCAACACACATCAACCTCCCACTAACCTCCCTGACGATATAGATCCACAACCATCCATCCACAATCACCACCACAATACGAATACACCCACATGCCCCACACCTAACCACAATCACCACCTCAATACCAATACCCCCATATGTCCCACACCCAACCACAATCTTAATCACAATACCAATACATAACTTAGCTCTGGTCTGGGATTTTCTGAAGAATATGACCCAACCGACCCAACTTACCATCAATCACTACATCACCAAAGCACCTAACATTCGCAATACCAAACACCCAAGAATTCATTTTCTTTCTACCCCCTTACTCAAACGATCAGTGCTATAGACCAACCATAGAACCTCATCCGCCACCAAGACAACCAAACTTTGAGGGTATGGGTAACAGACTGTACCAAAGTAGATCTTCTAGATATGGAGATCTGACCGATTTCATGGATCCGAAACGCATTGACTTCGCTGGGCCTTCGATCCTGCCACAACATGAAACACGACGAAACAGCTAGGACGCGAATGCAGAATCACGGGTTGTTACCGAGTTCTGGGGGACCACTAATTATTTTGTATTTTTTATTATGTAATCGTTTTGTGTAAATAAAAAGTCGAATTTTCGTGAAGCTTTATCGTTTACATAATGTCCCGCATTTAAAATAAAAAACAAAAAAAATTGAACCTCCTTTGCACTAAGGCGCCATCTCACATGGCTTAGGGCGCATTTTTAACACCTAGGCGCCAAGTGAGATGGCGCCTCCCCTTTAATTTAAGGTGTAGGCGCCAAGTGAGATGCCTCTTCC